CAAATCAACAGAGTAACCATTACTCTTTCGGAAGAAGAGAAGAAATCTAGGGTTATCAGAGGTGGGAGGGGGGACAAGGGGGGAATGGGGAGAGATTAGACAAGGGGCATGAAGAATAAGTACGATTTGTAACAATACATATGCAAGTAACATTGATTTGATCAATATATGTCAAAATTGAACCACCAAAATATGTATAATCAACTATGAGTCAATAAAAATTTTAAAAATAAAGAAAAAAAGCAAAAAAATATATGGCATTTTAAGCACCCCTTTAAATGGATTATTCCACACTAAAGAATTTATCTGGAGTCCTTTTTGGAGGCTCTAATGAAGAAAAAAGTAACCAAAGTAAAAATTTCAAAAGCAACTTTCTTTAGGCTGCTTGCATTCTAACTGTGACAAGGAAATGAAGAATGATGTTGTCTGAGCCAAGATTAATGGTGAATTTAGCTAAAATATTTTATATCTACTAAATCTATACAAAGACAGTAGAACACAAACAATTACCAGGGATTGTTACACCTTGAACTTTAATGTACATAAAACACAATTATTTTGGTAGCAAATGCTAAATTTGCCAGTATGTTTCTTTAAAACTCTTAAAGTCAGGGTCAGGCAATTCTTTCTTATAAAGGGCCTGAAAGCAAAAAAGGCTTTGCAGACTAAGAGGTAAGGTGGAGGATATTATGTAGCTTCTTACGTAACAAGAGAGAAAAAAACAATTTTCATTGATGAAATTCAAAATATAATAATAATTGTGTACAATTTTTTGGTAACAGGTCTACTAATGAGAAGAATGGAATTCTTTCAGGGGGATAACATTTCACATAACTGAGATTCAAAGTTAGTGTTCCCTATCATCAAATCGATTGCAAATGTTATCTGTAAAACCATTTTCAGTTCCTGGACCAAACAAAAAATTCTGCCTGGCCATATTTACTTTGCCATCCTTTGCTCTAAGTACTAAAGTAACTTGAGAAACAAATTAAAACACACCACAAATCTTAATTTCCAAGAGTCTGCTTTTAAGTTACTGCAATCAATTTGAATATTAAAATCTTCAAACTTCTTAACATAAAGGGCCTAATCTTTAACAACCATTCCTAAAAAGCAACTTATTCTTCCTTGAAAAGGCTAAATATAAACAGATGACTAAATGTAGAAGAGAAATTTAATCTTCTTAAAAATCTTACAATCTCAGAATTTAAGTTACATAGGTAAAACAGATAAAAATATTTTTTATCACAAACTAGTCAAACAAAATAATCAGGATTAAATAATAAGGGCAGTAAATAAAATAAGGTGAAAAAGAGGAAAGTTGGGAGTTTCTCTATCAAACGTGGGAAGTGGGGAGCTAATCCACTAATATTTCATGAAAATGTACCTTGAACACTTTGGGCAATATTAACTTAAAGTAGATGTTTAGTTTTTAAATTTACTCTGAATATTACTCAAATAATTTACTCATCTGATTCTAACCATTAATTTTAAACTATATAACTTCACATTTATAAATGCTTTCACAAAAGTTAAGAATAATCTCACTATCTTTTTCAAGTTGGCTCTCTATCTCAGCCTCACCAACAAGGGCCCTACAGCAGAAAATCATTACCTTGTGGCAGAAAGATGCAACTGATTCCTACAATGGCCAAATTAAAGGAAATACTCATTCCTTGCTCCTAAAAATAAATAAAGATATTAAATCCTTTTTTTTTTTTTTCTTAAAAGATGACCGGTAAAGGGATCTTAACCCATGGCCTTGGTGTTATCAGCACCACACTCTCCCAAGTGAGCCATGGGCCGGCCCCTTAAATCCTAATATTAAATAAAGATATTCCATATTTAAAATAATTTCTCATGAATGACAAAATTAATAACTACAGTTTTCTAATAGCCTCATTTTATTTAGATAATGGAAAATTTAAAAACCAACTAAACAAGATACGTAAACCCAACAAGGGGAGAAAATATGCTTCCAAATATAAGCATTAAAATGGAAAAATACCTTTTTTTAAACCTTTTTCAGGGGAGTCCAAGGTATTTTATAAGAGTAATAGTTTTTTACTACAACATTTCTGGGAGAAGGAGAAAGAAACACTGATTTTATACTTAAAAACTTTGAATTTCTGACCTTAGCACTTTAAGCTATATGACAAAAAGCATATATTACAAAAGTCTCCTTTGCCCTAATAATTTGAACAGCAATGAAGGTTTTTAAAATTTCAAAAATAAAGAAATAAACTAAAAAGGTATGAGCAATTTATACTATGGAACTGAATGCTGGCAAGACGTTCTCATTATCCATTAACTTTTAATAACCCTCAACATATTTTAATCTAAAGTAGTGGTTAACAAAGGGTAGAGAACAGGCAGAAACAAACGTGTGTTTCGCAGCGTTCCCTAGGTTTTTCTAACTCCACACCCAATTCAGAACCACATCTCTACATATATAACACCCAAATTTTAAATACATATACATGGATTCTATCCGCATAACTATACGTCAGTCAGTGTTGGTACAAAATTACCAATTATTCCTAATTTTCATTTCCTCTGGTTCCAAAGGCTATACTATTTGAACATACTGCATTTGTTTTTTAATCACATTTAAGTTGGAAGTCATAGAATTTTAGAGTTGAACAGTATCTTAGAGACGATTTAATCTGAATCTTTTAGTGCTTGAAGTAAAGAAACAGGACTCAAAATTATACCTGGCTGGCCAGTTAGCTCATTTAGTTAGAGCATGGTGCTGATAACACCAAGGTCGAGGGTTCAGATCCCCCTACCAGCCAGTCACAATAAATAGATAGATAGATAGATAGATAGATAGATAGATAGATAGATAGATAGATAGATGCATGCATGCAAGCACAAAGGAGAGAGTTACAAAGCGGGACTTCAACTCTAATGCCCAGATTCTTAACTTCACTGTCCTTTTAACCAGACCAAGCTGCAGTGGACCCTGTAGGCAACTTGAAATCAGAATCACACATGAGAACTATTTAAGAAATTTCCATTTCATCTACTACTTAGTGTAAAGAACATTATTTTTTTCAGAACCCAAAAGTTCTGAAGAAATTTAAAGATTTATTTTCATACTATAGTAAATATTAACAAAAGTTGAGTTTCGATAATTTAGTAAATACTACTCATTCATATAAAATTCTAAATAGTTGCTACTTTCAACTTAGCATCCTAAGAAGTTTAAATAAGATGATTCAAATTTCTAATGCTAAATTATTTTCTTCTACTTTACTAACTTCGCAGTAAGGATATTAGTGTAGTGTGAAAGTTTAAAGCTGGGAACCAGACGGGTTTCTGTCTCAACTTCACTATATTCAACTAGTTACTGTCAAATCTCAACCTTTTTGACTCTATTTCTCATTTCCTGATTAAGGATCATCATAACTTAACACCAGATATTTTCTCTATATTGCTTCTAATTCTCACATCTCAGAAGTGTGCATTATTTTACAGATGAGGAAACTGAGGTTTTCCAAGAAACTAAGCTAGTAAGTGGCTGAGCAAGAATTTATACCCAGCTCTGCCTACCTCAGCTAGAGCGCGTGGTCCTTGCATTATACCACTCTGCCCATATCCTGATATAATGTGATCCTAGTGTAGTTGGGAGGGCAAAAAGTAATACATTTACAGGACTATTAGGGAGATAAAAATGATGAAAGAAATAAAAATACATGATGAAAAAATATACTGTGACACTTTCTCTAGTTATTAAATTGAAAATGAATTTCTAGAAAAGATTCAAATACTAGTTATGTTATAGATACTATTCTTATTACTGTTATAACACAAGTAAACACTGTTCATTTAAAAAACATATCGGCCTTGCTTTTAGAGATAACATTGAAATTAAACTGGCAAATAGGTACCCCTATTTATACTTCAGACATTAAAAATAAAATTTTCTGTTAGTCCCATTAAATCACATACATAAATAATATTTATAAAAGCATACAGATACTGTATAGAACAAAAGAAATCAAGAAAACTTGATACCAGTTCCTGTCCTTTCAAAAAGATTTAAAACACCCTGAGATACGCAAAAAAAGAGGGCGAACAGATGTTTAATACTGGACACCCACAGAGTATTTACATTCTATTATCAACCCATCTTCACCACTGCAGATGGATAAAGATACTGTGATTGCTGCTCTGACAGAAGTCGAAATGTTTTCCCAATACAACATTTTCTGTCGGGTCTTATATAAGTAAATGTTCAGTAAAATAAACATCAGTAAAATGTTAGGTAGACAGTGCAAAACTTATTCCCTGTGTGTGGTCACTGGTTCTTTTTGTAAAGTTTAAAATCTAGTGGAAAAAGCTAGGGCGAATATAGGGCGCAATTATTAATAAACGCAGATTAAAAACAAAACCAGAATTGAAGTTTTCAGGTTATCTTTTACCTATATCAGGCTCTACAACTAAAAACATCTAATTAGCTCAAAATAAAGGTACTATGCACACTTCAATCATATGTCCTAATACGTGACCTAATAACATGACTTAACTTCTTTACATAAGAATCATCAATACTTCTATGACACTTTTCCCAACAATGGCCAAAGTGTTCATCTGTGTCCTGGTATAATCCCCGCGTATGTAATGACACACTGATTCTGTCAATTCCCTCGGAGTTACATCTACCTATACCTTCCCCCCCCCCCATTTTTCTTTTCACCTCTTTGAATAACCCCATAGTTCCCACAGAACCACACAAACTCCCCATAAAGAAGAGTTCTTCACCTGACCACTTTCTGCCTTAAACATGCATTCCGTCTCTAACCGTGTAAATCGTGAGCAAGAGGAAACTGCAAGTTCAGGAAACCCGCACAAAGAAAGAGGAAGGAGCGGGGGGTGGGGGTTGAGAGGGCGGGGCCCGTCTGTCAACCTCCAGGGAGCCGCGGGAGGAGTGGGGCGGCCACGGAAGACCCCTCTCCGGGGCAACGCCAACTCCCATCGTCGCTCCCTTCCCTCACCTCGATCTCGCGGATGTTGTTGGAGGTGACAAAGATGCCGATCCCAATGGGGATGAAGATGAGGCCGATGATGAAGAAGGTAGGTAGCACCGTGCCAGCCGTAAGGATGGGCTGCCAAGCAGGCAGCCGCTGCTGTTTGAAGGCCGTGTTATCCGGCCTCCGGGTCTTAGCGGTGCCCCCAGGAGCACACGGGGGCCCACCGTCCACTTCATCCTTCACGCTATAGTTCATCGCCATCGACCCCCAGGGCGCGGCTCCGCGACGCGCAGGTGGACCGCCGAGGGGACCCGCCTGATGACCCTGACAGTAGATGCGCAGGCGCCGCTGCTGCCGCCACCACCTCCTCCGCTGTAGAGGCGGAAGAGGCGGGACATCTTCCGCAGACTGCCGCTGACTGGAAGCGAGAGTCGGCTGGAGAAGCCAGAGGAAGGGAGAGAGGAAGGAGACAGGAGACTGAGGGACAAGGGGAGGGCAAAGGGGAGGAGAATAACAGGGGGAGGGAAAAGGCGGGCACACGCTGACCATCTGCCCTGTGACGACAAAGAAAGGCTTAAGCCCTAGAACGTGAAGCTACGTTGACGCAAGCACGGCCTCGGAGCGAAGGAGTCTCGGCGCTTGCGCCGTTGGCCCGTCTTCCCTCCGCTCGCGGACGCTTCTGTTAGCGTCCTTCGACCCGCTGCTGTTGTTACCATGGAGACCGCCGGTCCAGGTCGCCCTCCCAGGCTTGAGCCACCCTCGTCAGCCCGGGAGCTGCTGACAAAGGAAGATCTTTCTGGTGGCTTTGGCGCCCGGAAGGTTTTTCTTTTTACCTCGACGCCTTCTCTGAAGGAAATTGAAGCATTTAAAAGGCCACACCAAGGGAGCTTGAGCCTTGTGGGACTGGCAGTATTGGCTTGGGTTGTAAAATCGCGACTTTAACTAGAATAAATAAATCCTCACTCAAGGAGCATATATAAACTTCAACTGATATACCTGACGTGTTGCCCTATGTTCGTGAAGTCAAGAACCGATAAGGTAACTAGCTCAACCCTATCTTCCTGCCTCTGTTAAAGAAGATCATCGGAGGCCATTGTTTTGGACTAAGTTCCTGCCCTGGGCCCCAACACACCAGACCATGTCACTTAGATTGTGATTGTTTGATCTTCCGAGAAATCAGGAGAAAGAGCCAGTTTCCAAAGAGCCCAGTTTAAATCTTCAATACGTATGAAAATTGACTTCTTTCCGCTTTAATTCTGACAGAAAAGAGATAGCCTGAAGTAACTTGTCAGTTATGTTTCTATTCTGCCTTCCTGTCTCCAACTTACAAGGAAAGTAACTTTGAAATGACCGATCTGCTTTCCGTTCTTTGTTTCTGCTTTCTTCAGTCTTTTTTCTGTCCATTAAATTAACCTTTCTTATTTAGCTCTTTGGAACACTTATTCCATTTTATGGAATAATGTGTTGCCTGATTCTAGAATCTCAAAGCCAATTGAGATCTTTTACTAAATTTGTTGTAATTTTGTTCTTCAATGCCTCTAATTAAGGGATTTTTCTCCATTACTGGTCTTCCCGTTACTTTTCCCCTCTTCTTTGTATCTGCATTATTTTCCAAATTGATTTAGGAAGTCTTTTATAATAAGCTGTAGCTTTTAAAAAAATTTTTACTGTTGATAATCAAAAACTTAAACACATAACATTACTATAGAATGAGATACTACGTAAACTCTTTATTTTCTTGGTGGCTGGCCAGCATGGGGATCCAAACCTGTGACCTTTGTGTTATAAGACTGCACTCTAACCAACTGAACTAACCAGCCAGCCTATGTAGACATTTTTAAACTGCCAAGTGTTTAACAACCCAAGGAAATACTCATTGATATAAAAAGTAACTAAATCGGGATACCAAGGTAGTCTAGAGACTGTAGCAATATATAAAGCCCAAATGAAAAGTAAATAGTGGTAATCTCTGTTGACCAGATGGAGGATTTTATTTTTCTGTTTCATTGTACTTTTCTGTTTTCCAATATTTTCTGCAATAAGCATATATTATTTGTAAAATTTAAGAAATAATTATATACAATACACATTATACTGGTGTCTTCAAGGTTCAGACCAGAGAGTAAATCACATTATCTGTAAACGAATACCCAAACTTTAATTTTTCACTATTTTTTTTTTAGGTGGCTGGCTGGTACAGGGATTCAAACCTTGGCATTGATGTTAATCAGCAACAGGCTCTAACCAATGAGCTAACTGGCCAGGCCCCCAATTTTATTTTTTTAGGGATTTGTCTTCAGTTATGTCTTTTGAAAGGTAAAGTGAGAAGAGGAAACTAAAGAGTCCTCGTTCCTCATAATTTACAATTAAATGTTTTTTTTTCAAAATGACCACAAGACTCAAGAATGTGAGCCAATCAAATATTTATTTGGTTGGGCTGGCAGGGTCAGGGGTTATTGCTTTGCCTCCCATGGTTTTGTCACCCCTTTTCCCCTGGGTGACAGAGCCGCCAAAGATTACTCAAAGCCCATCTCTTCTGAGCAGTGAGAAGCCCCAAAAAGGGGTTAATCTCCCAGAACCCTCAAGAGAGAGGCATTCCTTCCATTTGAGAAATTAACCAGAATTGGGGTTCTCTTTCCACATTTATTCTCCAGACCAGGAAGTTACAGGAATAGAACATAGGTGGGGTTTTTGCTAAGTATAGTTTAACAAGTTTAACAATAGAAGCTGGTA